TTCCAATCCCATGCCTCCTCACTCTTCAATGGATTCTATGTCATCTCAAGCACATTACAGGAACAAAGGAGAAAGAAAAACCCAGGAAAAAGAAATTATTCTTGGTGTTTGTAAGATGAGAAAATTTATTAAAAAAAAAATGCAACTCCACTGGGACAAAAGTTCAAAAGTTAAATGCTAATTTTGGTATTTCAACTTTAAGATATGCACAATTTTCATTTTTCATTTTTTTAATGTATTATTTAGTCTATTGACTATAAAAAATATATTTTTTTAGTCATTCTGTTAATTTAGTCTATTAGATATATCTAAATATGTAAATTTTTAGTCCCTCAACTTTGAGTTGAGGGATGAAAAATATATATATTAAAAGTTGAGAAATTAAAAATGTGTAAATTCAGATAACTTTAACCGACTAAATAATTGAATGATTAAAAAAATATATTTTTTACAATTAAGGGACAAAAAAATATAAAAAAAAGTTAAATGATGAAAATTATGCAAAATCTTAAAGTTGAGAGATCAAATTTGACATTTAACTAAGTTCAAATCCTTTTTTGCATGATACATAATGAGAGTTAATCTTTGTACATCTTTCCTTAATTATCTAGTTAATAAGTTATTGATGACCTGTTGATTTAATTAAAAAATTGATGACCTGTTGATTTAATTAAAAAGAACTTGGTTCTTCTAAATAAGATATTTAATTTAAATTTTATAAATAAAGTGGTAGATATTGAAAAATTTTTCCTTATATAATTTAAAATAATTTAATTTTAAATTAATTAAAACTTAATATAACTTTTAACTATCGAAAGAGGTAGTATAAAAAAAAATCTAGCTAACAAGCCTATGCCTACTAGCAATCATCTATGTATAGATATGGAAATTTTACTTAGCAGGGCAATGATAGAATATGGAAGAAGATTTATAATATTAATTTCTCTCAATATTGAGGTGGTCAAAAGTTGTGTCTTGGAATCAATTGTTTGCTGCGTGTTTAATGTTCTTACTGTTCTTCCCATGTCTCCAATTTCTCTTTTATTCAGAATTTTCTTTGTAGCCGTACGAATCTTAGCCTATTCAACGGAAATAGTTCTCTCCTTTTTTTCCCAAATTCCACAAGGTCCATCATGGGGTTTCTAATCACCATATACAGGCCATTTGATTCGGTCTTTGTTTTGCCTTAATGACAAACACCCCCCTTCCCACCCTATTCTATAGATGCTCAATGGGATTTTTGAGTGGCAATTTTGAGCTGTCAATCTGAAACATGAAAACTAGGCTTCCTTTCTGCTGTTCTTTTACTGAAAAATGTCCATAACTTTTTCTTTTTTTTTTGGTATATATGATGTAGTAAGTTGGTCAGGTCAAGTCAAATGATGATAATGTTAAAACTCCAAGATGCCAAGCGTATCAATTTTCATCAGTACCAACACATGTGTTGTTTAAAGGAAGCAAAAGCATCTCTTTCCATTTCTAAATCATATGCAAGACGGTACTGACACGAATCCTTCATTCCATGATTCCAGTTTCCAGAAAAGAAAAGAAACTGTTGTAAATCATATAATATCTGCCTTCTCCTTTGGTGCTAAATCTTGAAATTGTTCTTTAAACTAGATAAGCTTGACACCTGCAAGGAACCTTACTCTTGCTAACTTTATATCTTTCTTGCTACAACTTTATATTGATATTAGTTTGATGGAAAGAAGAAAAGAAACCCTTGATGCCTTGAAGATCATAGGGAATTTTCGATGTTTTGTAGCTTCTGAAACAAGAAAGGCAAAAAAAGTTGGAACATGTATTTCTCTGAATTGGTTTCTTCACTGCAATTTTTTTTTTTTTCCTGAACTCCTCTGTTCCTGTTTCGGGTGGGAAAGTTCTTGAAAATGAACGACCAGAGCACTTTGTTTGTGCTAATTTCATAATGTGGCCATGGATTTGACATCACTAAAAAGGGTCGAAACACAAACTATCCTATAGCCTTGGAAAATTCATTGACTGCTTTGTAAATGCCAGGAAACTACATATTCACTAGTGTTAGATATTTTAACACAGGAAACTACATATTCACTAGTGTTAGATATTTTAACACAGTTGGGTCACTTTAATATTTTACTGGCTTCAGGCATTAGCAACCAACCAATTGCTAATCCTAATGTTAGAAAAACCAGAACATGTCTTCAAATTCATGTATGCATATTGATCCAAGAAAAAGTAGCAGACATTAGCCACCTAAAACAAGATGCTGGTTCTTCTTTAGCTTAACAGTTAAAGTAGATCATTGATCATTCCCTTTTCAGTAACCAATCAATCATCAGTAAGTCTTTCAAAAGTCATACCACTATACCAGGTTGATTTTGATGGAAACTGGAGAGATTAAGATCCCTTTAGGCATCAAGTTGTGATTTCTTAGTAAACAAGTACAACAACAGAGATGCGCGTGCATTAAGGTAATTGAATAAATAGAGGAACATAATCAATGGAAAGAACAAAGAGGGTAATTATGTATGAATTGATCTCTTGCTCTTTTCTCTTAATTTTTAATTAGTAGTTGTAATCGAGTCTAGATGAAAGTTTTACATTGACCATTATGTTATTCTAGGTGTCATTGATTACAAGCACTTCACAAAAACAACAATGAACTAAAAGCACAAAATGGGCCCTCTTCAGATATTCTCCCAGCATGCAACTCCAGCAGACTCTTTACAAATAAAACAGTGAGCATCATTTCCTCAAAAAAAAGAAAAAAGAAAAAAGAAAAAAAGAAAAGTGAGCATCATGTTTCCTTCAAAATAAATTACTATCAAAGGGCTTTTAATTTAAATTTTTTTATGTATGATTATGCGTTATATAAAAAATAATATATAAAAAATAATAATTTTTTTAATTTTTTAAATCTCTTTTTTCTTAATTTAAAATTTAAAATATCAAATTTTTTATTTTAATTATACAATAAAAATTAATTATTTTTTATCTTTTTTATTTTAATTATACAATAAAAATTAATTATTTTTTATCTTTTATCTTATATCACATATAATGTGATTCAAACTTTAATTAAAATATCAAAATTTTAAATAATTAAATCACCTGATTATCAAAAGCGTGAATAGAAGCATCTATTACGCGTATTGAAACAGTGAGCACTACTCTTCTGCCTTTGTTCTGTTTTTAAATTCAGTGAAAAGTTTTGGGACGGTATTCCGAGATGCTATTCTCAAAGATATTAAATAGACAAGAACTGTGAAGTCAATGTCGCTGGTGAAATCAAAATTTTTCTTCCCTTTCCAATTTTATTTTCTTGGGAGACAAACATAATCACCTAAATCTTGATACAGTTCCATGGTCGTGCGTCTCATTAAGATTGGTGAGCTGTTCATCAAATTTGAGAATTAAAACTCTAGTTACTAATATCTAACAATACTAACTTATTAATTATTATCCTTAGAGTCTGGCACTTCCAAAGAATGAGCACTAGTTTTGACAGAAGCACAATTGGATCTTTCACTGTATGGTCAAAGATTTGGGTACATGGTGGAATCATAATATTTTTATTGATTATACCTTTTGTACAATGAACACAGAAACAGAAATGATTAAAAATAGAGACAAAAATACATAGCAAATACTTTAAAAATCATCTTAGATAAGCTTTTTCTACTCTAGTGCTGTAGTGCAGCTCCCTACTGAAAATTTTAGCCTCCTCAAGAAAACTTATTCAATTTCCTTTTGAGTTCTTTTACTCAACAAGATGCTTCTTCTTCCTTGGTGGAAAAAAAAAAAAAGCTCCTAAAAACAACCTAAGACATGACCATTTTAAAGGACCACCATGGTTACCTTAGGTGGAGCTTTAATCAGTATTTATTTATGGACGGTGCGAAGATAGCCATGTTCATCCAAAAAAAAAAATCAGAAGCAACTATAGTAATGAAACTGTGGTTGACCAAAATTGGCCAAAGAGCCTCTCCTTCCAATGCTTCCATCCTCTTCTTCATTCAATCCATCAAACTGCATCAACAACACATGATTATGATGTGAAATTAAGGTTACTTTCATATTATTATTATTATTATGTGTAATTAGGTTCAAGTTTCGATTTTGTTTTTGTTTGTATAACAATGTATGGGATGGGAGAGAAAAAGATACCCATTGTTCTTCTTCGTCTTCATCTCGAGTTGAGCATGCAGCCTTGGGAACGTCACCTGCAGCTTCATCATTGCGGGCGAATCTGCCACGTATACGGGGGCGGTTGTCTGCTAGCGTTTTCCGGCACGCATACTGTTAAATCAACAGAGGAAACAAAACAAAACCAAACCAACCACATTCAGAACAACAATAATCAAACAGAATGAAAATTTTTTTATATTTTTTATGAGTCAAAATATGTTACCTTAATGGTCTTGTTGAAGTTCCTTTGATTGCGTTTGGCTCTATACTTTAAGATCCTCTCTTTCCTTTCTTCTGCACTGTAACGCCCAACTTTGAAGTTTGACTCCGCCATGATCGAGCTATCTGTAGCTAAAGAGCTTGAAAATGACCTCTGGGTGTTGTGAGGTTTTTTCGTACACTGAAAAGGTTGCAAAAAGGTGACAAAAAAAAAAAAAAAATCAAATTAGATATGCAATTTGAAAAACAGAGCAAAAACAGGGGAGGGGGGGAATTAAGGAAAATTTGTGATTGGACTAACTTGCAAATCTCCTGTGCTGCAAACCCTCCTCATCTGTCCTGAAAAAAAGCTACTATTCGGTGAGCTCTGAAAATTTGGAGATTCCATTAGAGAATCAAAACAGGGCTGGAATGAAAATCCGGGCTTTCCTTCAAAGGAGTTGCTACTGAAACTCCTCTGCATAAGCTTTCCTACATTGTCAACACCGCTGTAGCTATAAGGAGCAAAGGAATTACTATAAGCACAATCAAATTCCACCCGAAGTTCCTCATTTTTGACCTCCAAACAATTCAAACCCCCAAAATCTCCATACCCATTTGACATAGATTGCATCTGGGGAATCTGATAAATGCTTAGACTTTCAAGTTGGGAACTTGGAGGAGACGAAGAGAGGAAATTGGAGGAAAATTGGTCAAGAGAATTGGATTCTTCAACTGGGTTTTGATGGTTGATGCTTGAGATTTCCTGAACAATAGTATCATCAACAGGGGAGAAAGAAGGATCTGAGGAGAAGAGAAGGTCTATTGAGTCAGAGAAAACCATGCCTGAGGGTTTATGAGGGTAGAAAGACCCACCAAAAACATAAAGATCAGAGGACATTGAACTCAATTCTTCACTGAATTGGGCTCAAAAAAATGAATTATCAAGTACAAGAACCGAACCTTTTCTGCTTCAAAACAAAGTTATTTTTGGCTATTTTGGAAGAAACTGCCACAGAGAAGCACAGTTGACACTTGTGCTCTATTTTGAATCTTGA